AATTCAAGATGGCATCACTAGCAACTATAACAATTGAAAAAGCTGGCGTTCTGAAAATTTTTTGGCCGTATCCTGAGTTCTTTTTGGTTTTTTCTACTATGGGGGTGGGTGCCAGCCATGTTTCAAAACTGTCGCTGTCCCTAACCAAAAGCCTGGTGGAGCATCTTGGCCTTACAGGCCCTGTGGAACTGCATAAGGTCCCGCAGGGCTCTGGCCTACCTCACAAGGTACCTGCTGTTGGGAGAGGAAGGGAAAGGTGATTGTAAGTCACTTTGAGACTCCTTAAGTTGGAGAAAATTGGGGTATAAGCAGGGCTTTTTTTGTAGAAAAAGCCCAGCAGGAACTCATTAGCATGATAGGCCACACCCAACTTCAGAAACTCATTAGTATATTAGGCCCCACCCCCATGCCTTCCCTTGGCTTGCCTGGGTGCCCCGTGGCAAGCCAGCCCTTGGACAGGCCGGGAGAGGCATTTAAATGTATCCCCGATCCTTGCAGGGGCCCCCCTAGCCCGCCTGCCTCAGAGTCGCTGGGGGGGGAGTCACTCTCCAGGCCTTCCCTCTGTAGCCACGCACACAGAAGTTTTGGCTGTAGTGGGCGTGGCCAACTCTGAAGCCAGCCGGAACTCCGTTCCTGTGCGTTCCTGCCCGAAAATAGCCGTGGGTATAAGAAACAATTCTTCTTCTTCTTTTGTTTGCCTACTGTGATATTTTTTTGGGGAAAGACTCTGAGTTTTTAGTTGTAAGATTTTACAATGTCATTATATTCTGAGCATAGAAAGAAAGTGCAATCCTAAACAGAGTTATGTCCTAAGTTTATTGAAGACAGTGGGTTTAGAAGGGTGTCGCTATGCCTGGGATTGCACTGTTGGTATAACGGGGAGATATTTCGGAAACTAAGGGAAATTGTTGATGGAGGACCTCTGGATTCCCTCCCAGCATTAAAATGCCAAGAAATTGTTACGCTGTAAATACCTGCTTTTTATTTGCTAATAATATTTAATAGCAGTTTGCCTCTAAAGGAAGGGCAAATCAACAGCGTGTTTTCATGCCATACAGGACTTCTTGAAAGATAGATTATTCATCATTACATTGGGGGGGGGACTCTATAGGAATTTTTTAACTGGGCTTATGTGGACAGGACAATTCATGCTGTCCCCTTGCTTTCCTGTACTCATCTGCCGTGTGCAAATTGACACAGGAAGCTCTCTTATACCGAATCAGATCCTTGGTCCATCATGGTTGCTGTTGCGCCAATTGCACTGGCTGCCAGTGGAGTACCGGATCCAGTTCATGGTTATGGTAATGACCAGTGTTCCCTCTAAGCTGAGTTGGTGTGAGGTAGCTCACAGTTTTTTAGCCTCCGGCTCACACCTTTTTGTCTTAGCTCAGGAAGGATGGCTCCACAGCAAACTGATTTATGCAGTAGCCAGATCACTCGCTCACAGCTCTAATGCCAGTAGCTCACAAAGTAGAATTTTTGCTCAGAAGACTCCACAGCTTAGAGGGAGCATTGGTAATGACCTTTACAGCCCTACGTGGTGAGGGACCAACATGCCTACAGGACCGACTCTCCCTGTATGTGCCCCAAAGAGCTTTACGCTCAGCCGAACAACACCTTCTGGTAGTCCCTGGCCTGAAAGACATCCGTTTAGTCTCGATAAGAGCCAGGGCTTTTTCTGCCCTGGTCCCGGCCTGGTGGAACACACTCCCACTGGAGATCAGGGCCCTGCGGGACTTACTAGAGTTCTGCAGGTAAAACAGAGTTGTTCCGGCAGGCCTTTGGATGAGGTGGCGGATGTCCAATCCATCTCGGCCTCCCTTGCTCTCAGTGCCCGCATAGTCTGTACTGCTGCAGTGCTTATAGTGCCCATCCTGACCAACCCTGTTTACGAGATCAACAAGACGTTCCCAGGCAACAGGTCATGATGTATGGCCACCTTGAGCTGGCCTTGTCTGGGAGGGCAGGGTAGAAATGTAATAAATCAAATCATCTAACTAGCTTCCTCAGGAGGTGCCCAAAGTCCCGGAATAGCTGCCATCTTGAATCTGGTCAGTAAATGTACTGGTAGTTGTTAATTTGGGTTGTTTTTTTAAAATGTTTCAATTTGATGTATTCCGTGTATTTACTGACACGTGTGACCCGAATCATAGAATTTTAGACTTGGAAGGAACCCTGCAGGTCATCTAGTCCAACCCCCTGCACTCTGCAGGAGCATAGCCGAAAGATAGCTCTACAGCATACCCGAAAGAATAGAACCATAGAATCATAGAATCATGATCTCCCGTCCTGAGCCCACTCGCAGGGGAGGGTGGGGATCTAAATCAAATCAAATAAATTAATGTTGTCTACTCAGACCGGCAGCAGCTCTCCAGGGCAACAGGAAGAGGCCTTTTCACATCACCTTCTGCCTGGTCCTTTTAACTGGAGATGCCAGTGACTCAGCCTGGGACCTTCCACATGCCAAGCTCTCCCACTGAGCCTCATCCCCTTCCGCATGGATTGGCTGAGGATCTATGGCGGGCTCTCTTACCTCAGACTGCATCGGTCTGGCTCACGGGAGCGGATTAGCTCTTGTTAGTATAGTTGAACGTGAAGCCATCCAAAGGCTACGTGTAGTGGCTGAAACTTTAGGTTTGCATATAACAAATCCAAGCGCCAGTCCTTGCTCGTGTAAGGCCACATTGTATAACAAATCCAAGCGCCAGTCCTTGCTCGTGTAAGGAATTCACTAGTTGGCCCGGAGGCTTTCCCTGCAGCCCTAACCCACCTGGCGTATTTGGTGAGAGGTAGAGAGAATCCTGCATATCCTGTCCAGAGCTTCTCAGGCTGTGAAGGGTGGTGGGGAGTGCCATTAAGCTGCCACTGTCCTATGGTGACCCCCCCTGTGGTTTCGAAGGCAAGAGGATGAGCAGAGGTGGTTTGCCATTGACTGCCTCTACGTGAATACGGTATACTTAATGAAGATAATGCGTAGAGTGCATCTCCACTGAGTTTTTAAAAACATGAGAATTTAACATGTTTATCTTTGCTTTGATGGGGGGGAAATTATGACAGTTCTTCTTCTTGTGAGTAGTCTTCATTTCTTTTTCTTTTCTTTTCCCTAGAGGACACCGTTGTTGCAGTGTCGGTGACCGGCATTCTTAAAGTATGGATAGTAACTTCGGAAGTGAGTCACATGCAGGTAAAGGCGGGGGAGAATGTAGCTTCATAGTCATTGATACTTTTTGTCCCTTCCCATCCCGTCTCTTAACCAAGAATGGACATAGCTTTGGCTCTTTGCTCATCGGTCTTATTTTCATCTGTTTGGTGTCGTGGTTAAGTGCGCAGACTCTAATCTGGGAGAACCGGGTTTGATTCCCCCCTCCTCCACTTTCACCTGTCTGGATGACCTTGGGCAAGCCATAGTTCTGATAATGAGCTGTTCTTGAAAAAAGAGCAGTTTCTGCCAGAGCTCTCTCAGCCCCACCTTCCTCACAGGGTGTCTGTTGTGGGGAGGGGAAGGGAAAGGAGTTTGTAAGCCGCTCTGAG